ACATGCTCCTTCCATAGCACAGGTGGTGCAAGAGCTTTCAGTCATTACAAACTTCTCTGCTGAGTCCAAATGGGTTTTAAATGCTCAGTTCATGGTCTTATCTAAAGCTCGCTTACAGTTGCTTGATGATTTTAGCATTTTAGAGGTTTTAAATTAAGGTCAAAACAACTAAACAAAGGAAACGTTAGATTCAGGATGAAGTCAACAGATAAAACAGACTATGTGCCTGTGTCTTTGTGTGTGTATTGTGCATTATTTATTTTCAGGTTGTAAATAATAAGTGATCTGACCCCCCTCCTCCTTTCAGGGTGGAGCCTGCTGGAGTCCGATGGTTAAGACCAGGTCTGAGGAAGCGTAAGTGTGAAAACAAAGCAGCACACATTCAACCATCCTCACACTGTGACATCACTCATTCACAGCTCTGATGTCATCATCAAAGTGTCAATCAATGATCAGATGATAGACCAATAACTGCAGCGGTATTATGTCTTGTTCTCTCCATCAGATTCCTGTGAACTCACAGTCGACACAAACACAGTACACAGAAAGATCAAACTGTCTGACAACAACAGGAAGATGACACTTTTGTTAGAGGATCAGTCATATCCTGATCATCCAGACAGATTTGACTACTGGCCTCAGCTGAGTTGTACCAATGGTCTGACTGGTCGCTGTTACTGGGAGGTCGAGTGGAGAGGAAGAGTTGATTTATCAGTGAGTTACAGAGGAATCAGCAGGAGAGGAGACAGACATGATTGTGTGTTTGGAGAGAATGATCAGTCCTGGAGTCTGATCTGCTGTGACGATGATGGTTACTCTGTCAGTCACAGTAACAGAAGAGCATCCATCTCCTCCTCCTCCTCTTCCTCCTCTGGTAGAGTAGCAGTGTATGTGGACTGTCATGGATCTGTCCTTCTACACAGTCTCCTCTGACACACTGATCCACCTCCACACCTTCAACACCACATTCACTGATCCTCTTTATCCTGGGTTTGGACTCTGGTCTGATTCCTCCATTTATCTGTGTTCTCTGTAGGAGGGAGAGACTCCTCCTGTTAGAGAAACATAAAGTATAGTCTGTAGAGGATCACAGTTCCATTCATCTTTCAGGTTATTGTAATAAATTAATCAATGAACTTAGTAAAAGTGATCAAACTGATTGTGATTGATCTGTTGGGACAAAGAGGACCTGGTGTGATGAATCTGATTTGATGAACTCATAACACCTGGGCATCCCATTGTTCCATCTCTTCCCCCTTCGTCCTCACATCGCTCGCCCACACCTGGTGATAAGCTCTTGGACTTCTGTGGAGTCAGGTCCACAGATAATGTACAGGAAAGGATTAAAGTGCGTTTTTAAAAAAAAGCATTAGCATCGAGCTGCTAACTGTGAACTCTACAAGGACAATAGGAGTGAATGGCTTTCCTCCTCCGACCTGCACCACCTGACTTTTTGGACACTTGCCAGCCTGGTTCACAGGACACCAGCACACCACCAGCTCCTCCCTCCTTTCATAGACTGTTGGTAACGTACTGGGCATAGATCATTTCAGAAAAGCAAAGACTGTTCACTGTCAATGTTACTGATGTGTTTTATTCACAGTTATGTTGTTTTGATGTTAATATGAGAAACGTAAGTTACAGCTGTGACTGTAGTCTCTGAGACAGTGCTATGTTAATGTTAGTTAATATTATGCTTCACACAGACTCTGTGACTTTGCATGCAACTAACTCTCTTTTAACTGCCGTTAATATAAGATCACACACACACACACACACACACACACACACACACACACACACACACACACACACACACACACACACACACACAAATTCAGCTCTAAACTTCAGCACACACATGAGGAGAGGGAAATCAAACCCTGCCGCTCCTCCATGCTCTTTATCTCTCACCAACACATGTTTCATACTCAGCTGAAATATCTGGTCAGAGGACAAAGAACACACACACACACACACACACTCATTAGTTAGATTTCATATTGTGTTTTCTCTGTTTGGCCTTTATTATCATTTTAATAAATGCTTGTGTTTATAGATGCTGGCCTATAGAATTTCACATCGGAGTGGTGATACCAATCTCTTCCAAAATCCAAATGCTTCCACTTAAATTATTAATAATGATCTAGGTTGTAATTATTCATTTAATTATTAATCTGATTTCCAAATTGATAGTGTATTTTATGAGACTGAATCAATTATTGGCTATTGTTTCCCTTCTTTAAGGGTGGGACCCGAGAACCTTTAATGTTTAAGGTATTATTTATTATCTTTAATAATAAATTCATTTTGAAAATTAATGAATTGTACCAACATAGTTTGTTGCCCCTTTAAACCACTGTTGTGTTTCTCATAGCATCTACATTCCACTTCCAGTCCTTTAACGATGGAAGCTGTGATCATTCATGTGTTGTTTTGTATTCTGGCTCTTTTTCCAATAAAAGCACAATGTTACTGTGAGTGTTGTCTTTCTTATTCTGAAGATAAAGTTGTGTTTTAATGGACACCCAGCAGCCAATCAGAATCCAGTATTTACACAGACATAAGTTTTAGTTACTCATTTTGACCACTAGAGGCCAGTAAATAGGACAGACAACACCTTCTGGATGGCAACAACAAGTAAACGTCCAAGAGAATGGCAGGACGGCAAAATGAAACACGCATGATGAAAATATGTATATTATTTTATGTAATTATTTAATTATTAGCTTCTCGTTGTCCATGTTGTCTCCTTGTGGAGGCTGTGCAATCATACAAATACCTCGGGCTGTGGCTGGATAATAAACTGGACTGGACAACACACACCAGCCACCTGTACAGGAAGACACAAAGCAGGTTGTCCTTCCTGAGGAGATCGTGGTATTTCAACATCTGCAGCAAACTGCTGTGGATGTTTTATCAGTCTGTGGTTACCAGTGTCCTCTTCTACACTGTGGTGTGCTGGGGGGGCAGCATATCCAAGAAGGACACCTCCAGACTGGATAAACTGATCAGGCGGGCTGGCTCTGTGGTCGGCATGAAGCTGGACTCACTGGTGACGGTGGCAGAGAGGAGGACACTGGACAAACTGCTGGACATTATTGACAATGCCAGCCACCCCCTGCACACCGTCCTCAGCAACCAGTGTAGGACCAACCGACTAAGAAAGAGGACAGAAGGGAAGGAGTGGTAGCCACTCACTGTGCAATAATAATCTACTCATACATACCTGGACACTCTTCTTCTTTTTTTGTGCAATAACTTGATCCACCACTTAAGTGCAATAATTTAATTTAATTTAACTGCTAATTTCTGCTAATGTCATTTACCCACTATATAATAACACAATGCCATATACAGTCCTATATATTTATCTTTATTTATCTATATTCATCCTCTGTACAGTTCTCTACATTTATATTATTTGATTTTATTTTCTGTGAATTTTATTTTACTTTTATTCTTATTTCTACTTTATATATTTAGCTAAGAGTTTACTGTTTACTGTTTATCGTTTACTTTCTATATTTAGCTAAGAGTTTATTCATCTTTATTTTCTACACAAGTGTTTTGTAAGCTGCTGGAAACCCCATATCCTTGCAGGAGTCATCCCAAAAGGATCAATAAAGAGAAGTCTAAGTTGTGTGAGGTGGTTACGTAACATCTGGTTGTAGATTCAGACTTACATTTACAGCAGAGTGCAGTTATTATTAGATTGTTAGTATTTTAATGTGAATGTTAAAAGTTATAGAACTGTAATAAAAGTAATTATCTGTGAGATTACAGTAATTATTGCTGTTTACACTGATAACAACTATTTTGACAATTTACCAATGCTTATACACTGATAAACAACATTTATTCAACGTTTTCGTTTTGAAAACTTCCATTATTATATAAGATATCTGTCTATTAACAAACAAATCCATGTGAAATTACACAATAAATACTTTTTTTACATGTAATGTCACTCATTTTATGTAATTTTAGAAGCATATAAACAGTTTTAAACTTGAATTTAATTTAATATATTAAATAAACAGTAAATATCTGCAAAACAATCAAACAAGCTTTCATGTACATGAAGGATGATATTAAAATATATTTTTGGTTTCATAATGTGCTCTTTAACTTTCTGTATCAGCTTTGGAGGCAAGTTTGTGTGTTTATGTCTTTGTAAACTGATTTAAAATGTAAATGATGAATAGAATTAGAGTGGAGGCCCTGAAAGGAGTTGAGGTGTCACAGCGTGATTGGGAGGAAAGCAGTGAGTAAGTTGAGGTTGATCAATGAGATGAAAGCAGTTGACATGACAGTTTGGGGATTAAGGCACTGGTCCCAACCTTTTCTATCATTTATTAAACTGACTCAGTGACACATTTTATAGATATTTCATATAATATTCAAACAAACAATGAACCCAACTGTAAGACGTTTGTGTAAAACCACAGATTTGGATTCATTCAGAGCAGATTATTTCCTGTTTAAGGGACTTTTTATAAAATTCTCATAGTTAATACACACTTACAGACTTAACGGGCTTCTTCTCCCTGATGCTTGGCCATTGCTCCATTAGACAGTTTTCTTCACAGAAGTGAACCAGATGCTGAGATATCGGCCTACTGTGTATATTTTTAAAATGTTCTTATATTACTTAAAATCAACCAAGAAGGTCTCGCAACCCCCTGGTTTAAGGTTCTGGGATGGTTGATAGTGAAATTATTATAGTAATGAATGTTTACACCCTCAATCTGCCATAAATGGGACAATATTCACTTTTGAAAGATCAGAAATTATTAAGTAAAATAAATGTGGAAATAAACAGCAGAATAAGAACAAATCATGGACACGAGCGGTTCCTGAATGAGGCCCAGAGTCTCCGGAGGGTAATTACGTCAAAATTAGGAACGATGGGTTTTATTTTGAAAAGCTACGAGCACGGACACGCCCAAGCCAGCTCTTATTTTGAAATAAAACACCGGAAGTTGTGTGTGTGTTGTCGCGGTCTTGATGAACTGTTGAGGAGTGAGCGTCTGGAAGGGAGAGCAGGAAGAGGGAAGACAAGAAATCAGGAATAAAGGAGACACAGAGCAGAAGAAGAAGAAGAAGAAGTAAACAACAACAACCACAACAACAAGTAAACAGGAGAAGGAGAAGAAGAAGAAGAAGAGGAAGAGGTAAACTTTGTTTGTTGTTTGTCTGACTTTGTTTTCTTTAGCTGCCAATCAAACAGGATCCAGCGAGGTGTGTCCAGGCCACGCCCCTTCAGGTAAACGCTAGGTGTGTTTGTGAACAGGTCAGAACGTGTGTGTGTGTGTGTGTGTGTGTGTGTGTGTGTGTGTGTGTGTGTGTGTGTGTGTGTGTGTGTGTGTGGGTGGGTGGGTGTGTGTGTGTGTGTGTGTGTGGGTGGGTGGGTGGGTGCGTGTGTGTGTGTGTGTGTGTGTGTGTGTGTGTGTGTGTGTGTGTGTGTGTGTGTGTTACTGTGTGTATGTTACTGTGAGTTACTGTGTGTGTGTGTGTTACTGTGTGTGTGTGTTTTACTGTGTGTGTGTGTTACTGTGTGTGTGTTACTGTGTGTGTGTGTGTGTGTGTGTGTCTTACTGTGAGTTACTGTGTGTGTTTGTGTGTGTGTGTGTGTGTGTGTGTGTGTGTGTGTGTGTGTGTGTGTATAGCGCCAATTCCTAACAGAAGTTATCTCAGGACACTTTTCAAATAGAGCAGGTCTAGACCGAACTCTTTATAACATTATTTACAGAGACCCAACAGTACCACCATGAGCAAGACCTTGGAGACAAGGGCAAGGAAACACTGCCTGTTAAAAGGCAGAAACCTAGGACAGATCCTCCGGCTCTAGGTGGGTGGTCGTCTGTCTCGACCAGTTGGGGTGAAAGAGAGAGAGAGAGAGACAGAGAGAGACAGACAGACAGACAGACAGACAGGTGCACAGCAACAACAGTATTGGCGATGGCAATCTAGCAGGACCATGGCAGGAGGCTCCACCAGGATCGATAAGAACCTGCGAGATGAGAAAGCACAAGAACTCCGGGGAAGAAGTGAAGTTAGTAACATGCGAGGAACGTCTTAAGCCTACTCTTGAATGTGGAGAGGGTGTCTGCCTCCCGAACCACAACTGCAAGTCATGGGTGCAGCTGCCAAAAAGCTCTTTCTGCCTCAGTCCAAGAGCTTAGCGACTTTCTAACACCCACCGTCTGTGTGCCAGGTTGTGGCTGGGAACTCCCAGACTACACTGTTCTGCCCCCGTCACCACTTCCTGGTTGCCACAGGACTTTTTTGATCCGTGATGTAAGGTGGATGGGTTCCCTTTTGGGAGGACGTCTGCGCGTGATATCTTTTAACTTGGGGAGACTGATGCGCCTGCAGCCACCAGACGGTCCTTGACAGAAGGGGGCCTGGTTCCAGTGGCATGGAAATCCACGACGACTGGAGACCACCCTCTGTTGCAGCCTTCATCCGCCTTCAGTGTCGTTGTGACATTGTCATCCTCCGCCACATCCGCCGTTGAGGTCTTTGGATCGCGCTTTGTCTGGAATCCCCCCCTCGACCTTACTGCCAGACGGCATTGCTTTCAGGCTCATTGGAACACACAAGGTTCTCCACCACGGCAAGGTGGCGATCCAGGGACCCAGGTGTGTGTTTCTCTTCTACCATCATTAACTGCAGCAAAAGCATCCTTGGTCACAGAAAGCGGAAACATCAAGACTGGTATGATGAAAACAACACCGAAATTCAACAGCTCCTAGCCACCAAGCGGCAAACTGTTATTACCTGGCAAAATAACATCAACTGCAAGGTTAAAAGAGCAGCTCATGCCAAAGCGAAGGCAGCCGTCCAATTGAACATTAGGAAATTGAAGAACCAGTGGTGGACAAAGAGCGGTACATTGCCCCAGCTACCGTTGTCTAACCCCACTTCGCTCTAAAGATGGGCTCACGCTGCTGAAAGATAAGGAAGCAATAGCAAACAGGTGGAAAGAGCATTACGAGGATCTTCTGAACAGGGACACCACTCCATAAATAAGAGCATGGGGGAACCACCCAGCCTGGAAGAGGTGAAGGATGCTATTAGGAAGATGAAGAACAACAAGGCTGCTTGTCCAGACGTCTTCCAGCAGAAGTCCTAAAGGAAGATGGCCCTGATCTTCTTAAACACACCCATGCCCTGCTTCTCAAAATGGGAACAAGAAAAATCCCTGCACAATTTAGGGATGCCCTGGTTGTCTCCATCTTTAAGAAAGGAGACAGTGTTTTTAATTTATTGTATGTTCCATCTACCTGCCCAGGGACTACAGGTGGAAAATAGCAACTTGGTAAAACCCGGTTCAATGCATCTCTCCTTGTTATATACAGGGTTAATGTTTTATTGTGCACTGTCCCTTCTCAAATAGAAAAAAATCAAATAATAATAATAATACAAATAATAATAATAAGAAGAAGAAACATATGGAAGGAGAAAAGGTGAAAAAAAGTGTTTGTGTTGAGTCCGGTTAGATCAGATCAGATCAAATTAGATGTTCTTTATTGTTCCCAAAAGGGAAATTCCTTCTGCTCAGGTCAGTACTGAACTGAGAGACAATAAGAAATAAAATTAACAACAGTATTTGTTTTTCTTAATATTTATTTCAAACAGGTAATACAAATAATAATAAACAAATAATGAGATGAAGGGGGCACCCAGTTAGCTCAGTGGGTAGAGTTGGCGACCCATGTACCGAGGCTGAGTCCTTGCTGCAGCGGCCCAGGGTTTGAATCCGACCTGCAGCCCTTTGCTGCGTGTCATCCCCTCTCTCTGCCCCCATTTCCTGTCTGTCTTCAGCTGTCACTATCATAAAAGGCAATAAAAAAAAAGCCCCAAAAAAAAACTTGAAGAAAAAAATGAGATGAAGGGTAATCCTACACACAAACTCAATTTATAAATCCCCACAAACAACACAAATTAAATCTTACAAAAAGGGGTAGGAGTGTACACAAATACAAAGTTTACAAAGAGTTTAAAAATCTTCTAATGTAGGAAGTGGAGATAAAACTCTTAGTAAAAGATCGAATAATAAACACAAACCATTAAATAATTAAAAAAAAAAAGTACCTACAGTCCCAAAGCATATAGATGACCTCTGTCAACTCACAATGAATCACAATCAGCCCACTGGGAACTGAAATATCTTCTGCTTTAAACGTCCAACAGAAATAGATTCAGCGTCCTCAATAACCCCCAGAACCTCCTATATTGTCCCGATCAGCCAATCAGCTGCTGAGATATTGTCCATATAGCTGATTATTGATGCTAATTATGCTAATGGTACATTTATGACATAAAACTTTGATACTAAACATTTCTGGTTCACACTGAGGAAATATTGTGTGTAAACTATTACAATAATTACAGTATTTCTAGATGTCTCAGTTTCCTCACAAACATCATTAAAGTTCCTCCTCTCTCTGTTTTCTTTTCTTTTTTTAGAAGGATGGATGGAAGCAGCTCGGCAGGAAATCCCAGCGCTGCCTCGTCTGACCCACTTCCTGCCCACGCTAACAAGGAGACGCTTCCACCGACTGATTGGATCTCAGCTTCTGAGGAGGACGATGGGCAGAGCAGAGGGTCCGATGGTCTGCCTGGGTCCCAGAAACACCAGAGTGCTGCAGAGAAAGACCAGAAACAAGATGATTCTCCAACCAAACCAGATCAACTAAAATCTGAAAATAGGATTCCAAAAAACAAACTTAATGCAGATCAACCAGAACCCTCTCTAGCTGAGCCAGATCAAACAAAACTAGATCCTCTTCCTCCAGAGCAACAAAAAATGGAAGAAACTAAAGATTCTCCTCCTCCAGAAGATCCACCAAAACCGGATCAAACTTCTCCAACCGAACCAGATCAAAAGAATCTAAGAACTGCAAGACCTGAACAAAAACCAGATTCTCAGGAACACAGAATCCAGGAAGATCTCACAAACCAGAAACCTGAAGAAGACCCTCCTCCTCCTCCTCACCTGAACACCCAGCAAGCTCCTCCTCCTCCTGCAGACCAGCAGTCTCCTCCTCAGGTTCTTCCGTCGATAGTCCGTCCAACTGAAGCTCCAACCCTGGGTCCACCGCTCCAGGCTCCGCCCCTCACCATTGAGGCGTTCTGTGACCAGGTACAGCCCCACCCTCCGGTTTCTTCTACAGGTGAGCCCAAACTGTGTGGCTTCCTACAGAAGCAGGGGGGGCCCCTGAGGGCCTGGAAACAGCGCTGGTTCACCTATGAGGAGAAGAAGAACCAGCTGTTCTACTACCGCACGCCACAAGATGTGACGCCACTCGGCCGGGTGGAGCTCTGCAGCGCCACCTTCACCTACCCACTGAAGGCCGAGAGTGGCACCTTCCACATCAAGACGCCTGAACGCACCTTCATCCTCAAGGTAGGAGCTGTAGAACTTGTTCTGACACATTGGTGAGCGGATGGAAATGAGCACTCATTGATTTCTGAATTAACAGGCGGTGACTCAGGAGCTGATGATCTATTGGCTGCAGCAGCTTCAGGTGAAACGCTGGCAGCACAGACAGACCTGTCCTGACCCAACAAACAACAACAACACTACAGGTGAGAAAGGATTTTAGAAATCCTGAATCCTGCAGGTGCAACAGCAGCTTCAAACTGATTCTGACTGATTATTAGTTATTAATTGTAAATTACAGTGGAGAAATACTGAAACCTTTATTTTAATTATTAGTTTTTTCAGACAAAATGTGTATCTGTAACTGTAGAACAGCCCTTTTAAGTGGTCTGATGATGGTTTAACTGGTCTGATGATGGTTTTACTGTCTAATGATGGTTTAACTGGTCTGATGATGGTTTTACTGTATGATAATGGTTTAACTGGTCTGATGATGGTTTAACTGGGCTGATGATGGTTTTACTAGTTACTTACTGAGTTAAATATATATTTTCAGTCAGTTGTTGTTGCTGTTTTTAATGTGTATCTGTGATTTCTCCAGAGGAAAGGCTTCTTAAGTTAACAGAATGAGTATCAAAGTGTTGACTGTGACCTCTCTCACTCTGCTGTTAGACCTTAATCCTTCTGATTAGTACAGAGTTTGGTGAATTCTCCAGCCACAGCTGATCAACCGCAGCAGTCATGTTAAAGAAATGAAGGCGTAAATAATCACCCTGATACACCAGGACGGGAAACATCAGTTTGTAGTTTGACATCCTTCCTTCCAGGTAGTTTTAGTGACCTTCTGTGTGGATATAAACAACCTCAGCCGGCTGCACTGATATTAACCAACAACCGAGAGCGATCAGCAGATTCAGTCAAACAGGATTAAAAGGTTTTTAGACATCAGCTGATCTGGATTTCAGACAAACCAGAACAGCCAGCTCAGCCTGCAGGTCCTGACCCTTCTGTCTGTAGACTCACTGGTTGAACTGGAGTTTAACTGGAGTTGTTGGACTTCTCTTTTAACGTAAGCAATGTGTGTTTAATGAGGGGGCGGAGCAGCAGGAAACAGGATGTGATGCGTTACAGATGCTCTCTGTAGATGGGGAACATTTCCTATTGTTTGTTTGAGACCATCAGCCCATCACGGCTCAGTGACGTCATCATTAAGACGCCGCTGACAGGATGTGATGTCATTCTGACAGCAGGTCAGCTGCAGGCGGCTGAAAGGAAACACTCATTCACAGGTTACAATAGTTCACTAAAACTAAACTAAAAACTAACTGACTGACATTCAATACTTCAGCTTTATCACCAAAGTCTAGTCTCTTAAAGGACTGGTGTCAGTTGGCCTAAGATCCTTGAATGCAGCTGTCAAACTAAACAAAGTTAATAATTATTTAAACACTTTATCATACACAATAACCGCAATAATATTGTGTAGTAAAACAAACTAAATGTCAATTTGGTCAATTCTATCAACACGACAACACGACGAGGCGACTGTGAGTCAGTGTTTGTGTACTGTAATACTTATCCTGAACTTTCTAAATCTTGCCCCAAACAAATACCCCCATATTATAATAAAACTAAAACTAAAATCAAACCCACTCTAGAAACTGAAAAAATTAAATAAATAAAAACTAATATAAAATACAAAACTATAATAGAACACACACATAGGCACAGCACTGAGTTCAGAACTTCATTCAGTTTTCAGTGTTCAGTTCGGTCTAGACCTGCTCTATTTGAAAAGTGTCCTGAGATAACTTCTGTTATGAATTGGCGCTATACAAATAAAATTGAATTGAATTTAATTGAAAGTGTTTTTTGTTTTTTGAAAATAGTTTAGGCGGTTTTCCTCTCAGTGAAAATGTAAACTGGTCTGAAAGAAAACTGCCTCTATAAGCGTCTCTATATTCTTCATCTTGTTTTTTCACACAGTAATCAGCTGTTTGTTGTTTCTGTTTCGGATTCTTTAGATGATGTATTGACAGTCAGACTGTGGACATATGACGGCCTTTAGCTTGTGTTTCTAGAGTTACTTTTTTTTGGGGGGTATTTTTTGGGGCTTTTGTTGCCTTTATGATAGTGACAGGTGAAGATAGACTGGAAAGGGGGGCAGAGAGAGGGGATGACATGCAGCAAAGGGCCGCAGGTTGGATTCTAACCCTGGGCCGCTGCAACAAGGACTCAACCTCGGTACATGGGTCACCAGCTTTACCGACTGAGCTACCCGGGCGCCCCTAATATGTCTCCACTACAGAAACATTAGCTAACTGCTAAAGTCTGATAAGGTTGTCTGATGTTTTAATGCTGTAAATGGTTGCCCTTTGTGTGCCTGTTTTTAAACTACTTTCCTAATTAAACATGATGTGCTCATTATTGATGCTGTTATTAATGATCAGACAGACTCTGGGATAAGTCCTTGTGAAAGAGTCCTGACTAAAGACAGGAAGTTGTGTAGTGTAAATAGTACAGAGATCTGATGACTTTGAAAGGAGTGCAGCGGTGGAAGCAGCTCACCTGATTCTCAGGTATTCTGCTCGTGTCCCGACTCGTTTTCCAGCAGACTTCACTTTAACATGACGTTTGTCTTTTATGTTGTTTGGACTAAAGCTTGTAGAAAAGTCCCCAGCTCAGGACTGCAGAAACACTCTGGTTGTACAGTGGTGTTTCAGAGTGGAGCTTCTTCCCTCACTGAGGATCTTTGATGAGTTCAGACAGTTTATTTTTGTTCTGAAGTTTCTCACTGAATGAATATGAAATAGTAGCGGCTGATCTGAAGTTGTGCAGTGTAGTTTCTGTAAAGGAGAGCTGAGGAGGACAAACACAGTAAAGACGGATTGGAGTTTGATCGGCTTTATTGGAGTAATCTACCAGGAATGTGTCTATGTGATTGGTTGAATTATGGTGTTGACAGACTGAGTGAGAAGGCACACAGAGCTTAAAGCCTCGGTCCTGCACCAGCAGGTTTTGGAGTGACCTCCTGGTGCTGTGTTCAGTTGTAGCTGTTCTGAATCCAGTCTGTGAAGCTTCCAGTCAGCAGCTGGAACTGTTTGTTGAAGGGGGGGCAGCTTGAATCATGTCAGACATCCAAGGTGATCATCGTGTTGTAATTATTGTAAATATCATTATGTGTCACACGGCTAACGTGCAGATTGAAGGCAAGGCCTGATGCGCTTAATGGGCCATAATTGTACAATGCTGAATTGGATTGAATTCTACCGACAATAGCTCCACAATCATACTATGTTACAGAGGACAGGACAGATACAGGACAGAGGTCAGAGCTGTAGATACAGGTCAGAGGTCTGTACTGTTTGTTTTATTCAAATAATAGTAACCGTATATTATTGTTATATACACTCCTGAACAAAATCTTAAGACCGGGGGAAAAATTGCAAGTATTCGCATTTCACGTTGGTGGAATGTAACAAGGTTGTAAGTAGAGCTTTAAAATGCAAAAAGAAGAAACAGGAGCAAGAGACAAAAAAAATAGAGTAGGCAATTTATTGAAAACTGCATTTAAACTCAAATAGGCTGTTCATCAGTTGATCAAAAGTTTAAGACCATAGCCCAAAAATAAAACAGAACTAAAAGTGTCAAAAAAAGGCCTCAGTAGTGAGTAGCCCCACCGTTGTTCTTGATCACTTCAAAAATCCGTTTAGGCATGCTTGATGCTAGTGTTACCAGGAGGTTGGTGGGAACGTTGGTCCATTTGGTGAAGATGGCTTCACGAAGGGCATCCATGGTCTGGAACTGATCTCTGTTTTGTAAACTTCCCTTGCCATCCATCCCCAAACGTTCTCAATGGGATTTAGATCAGGGGAACATGCAGGATGGTCCAAAAGAGCTACATTATTCTCCTGGAAGAAGTCCTTCGTCAGGCAGGTATTGTGAACTGCAGCGTTGTCCTGTTGAAAGACCATCATCAACCCCACAGACGAGGGCCCTCAGTCAAGAGGGATGCCCGCTGAGACATCTCCACATACCCAGCTGCGGTTTGACTCCCCTGCACAACCTGAAGCTCCATTGTTCCATTGAAGGAAAAAGCACCCCAGATCATGAAATTTAAAATGACTGTCTTACTGCGTCCAACCTCAGCAGCGATGGCGCGTTGCGAGAGGCCTTTCCTGTGCAACTCAACAATCCTGCCACGTTTAAAGACAGAAAGCCATTATGCCTTTGCCATCAGGGGGTCATGACAGTGAGAATGCCTGATATAAAATGACATGAAAGCCAGATTTTTGCACAGATTTGGACTTTTTAAGGCTATGGTCTTAAACTTTTGATCAGCTAATGAACAGCCTATTTGAGTTTAAATGCAGTTTTCAATAAATTGCCTACTCTGTTTTTTTGTCTCTTGCTCCTGTTTCTTCTTTTTGCATTTTGAAGCTCTACTTACAACCTTGTTATGTTCCACCAACGCGAAATGCGAATACTTGTAATTTTTCTCCCGGTCTTAAGATTTTGTTCAGGAGTGTATGTCAGTGCTGTAGATGTATTTGAGTAATATAATAATAACAATAATTATCTTATTAATAACAATGATATTAATATTTGCTTTATTTCATACGTTTTTATCATAAAGAGTCCATTTGACAATAATGCCAAAGTTAGAAAGATAACGTTGACTAGTGTTGTAAATGGTTGCCCTTTTGTGTGCCTGTTTTTAAACTACTTTCCAAATTAAACATGTATCAATTCTATAGATACAGGGCAGAGGTTAGTGTTGTGGATACCGGGTAGAGGTCAGTACTGTAGATACAGGGCAGATGTCTGTACTGTCTGTTTGATCCATATAGTAACAATAATGATGTTATAATTTTTACAATATTATATTATTTATATTTGTACACCAGAAAAATGATTTTTTTTCAAAACAATAGCACCGCCAATGCTAACTGCTAGAAACTCATTAACTGTTAGGAGTACAAGAATCATTTTTGGATTCCTTTGATACTCATTTTACTGATATAGGCCAAAAAAAACAAAACTAGATCAACCGGTCAGGTGATGTCAGACTGAAATCAGCTGTTTGAGTTTTCTGCATCCTGATTCTGTAGACGACTTCCTGCCGGTGTTGAAGAGCCCGCTGGGTTTGGTGGGGCAGGAGGCGGCAAACGTATCATCACAGCGATCGCCGCTCGCCAACATGTCGATCAAACATCCGCTCATCGAGATCCAGTGAGTGACCTCCACATGTTGCTTTAAAGCTCAGTCTGACATCAAGTGTTCAGACGCCAGAGAGAGCAAAGTGAGACCACTTCTCCCATGAGCCCCGGTGCTATTGGTCACCGGGAAGCAGGTAATTATTTCTGGTCCGCTCCCCTCACCTCGTTTTGGTAACGTGCAGTTTAGTCACCTTCACCAACTCCACATCTGGCTCAAGGGTTATTGTCTGAACAGAGATATTCCTTTTATTGACAATTTCGCCGCCTTTTTAGTTTGGCCCCAATTTTTTAAGCCAGACGGCCTCCATCCTTCACTGGAAGGGTCACGCCTCTTATCCACCAACATTGACAGCCTAAATGAATCCACCCCCCCCAGTCATATTAATACTCACATTCCTCGAGGCACTGGCCGAGGAGATGGAGTGGCAGCCATATATGATTTGAGTGTTTAAATGGACCCTAAACCTAAACTAAATTATAATTCATTTGAAAGCCTTGTTCTTAGGCTTTCTCACCCAAACTGGAAAACACTGCAGCCAGTTCTATTTGTTATAGTGTACTGCGCTCCTGGACCGTACTGATTTTATATCTTCTCAGAGTTTTTATCAAGTTTAGTCCTTAAATCAGATAAAGTAATTATTGTAGGTGATTTTAATATTCATGTGGATGTTGACAATGACAGCCTTAGTAACGCATTTATATCATTAATAGACTCAATTGGCTTCTGTCAGAGTGTAAATAAACCAACTCATTGTTTTAATCACACTCTTGACCTTGTTCTATCATATGGCATTGATATTGAACATTTAACAGTCTTCCCACATAATCCTTTCCTATCTGACCATTATTTAATAACTTTTGAATTCATACTATTAGATTATAAGCCATTAGGCAAAACTTCCTACAGCAGATGTCTATCTGACAGTGCTGTAGCTAAATTTAAGGAGGAGATTCCTTCAGTGTTTAATTCAATGCCATGTCTGAATTTAACAGAGTCCTATAACGACTTTAGTCCCTCTGAAATTGATAATCTTGTCGATAGTGCTACAGGCTCACTACGATCAACATTAGTCCTATAAAAAGGAAATTATTAAAACATAGGAGACTATCACCGTGGTATAACCACCAAACCCGCCAGTTAAAACAAATAGCTAGAAAATCTGAAAGGAAATGGCGCTCTTCAAAATTATCAGAATATCGCTCAATTTGGCATAATAATCTTAAAACTTATAGAAAGGCCCTCCGTAATGCCAGAGGAGCCTATTACTCAGCACTAATAGAAGAAAATAAGAATAACCCTAGGTTCCTCTTCAGCACTGTTGCCAGGCTGACAGAGAGCCACAGCTCTATTGAGCCACATATCCCCATAAACTTAAGTAGCAACGACTTTATGAGCTTCTTCTATAATAAAATTATTACTATTAGAGAGAAAATTAATCACCAACTGCCATCAACAGTTATCAGTGGCTCTCCAAGTTCAGGGACTTCTGCCAATGTAAACTTAGATATATATTTAGACTGTTTTTCTGCTATCGATCTTCATCAGTTAACTTCAATCATTTCTTCATCGAAGCCATCAACCTGTCTATTAGACCCGATCCCAACTAGGCTGCTTAAAGAAGTTGTTCCCTTAATTGGCACTTCTTTACTGGATATGATTAATCTTTCTTTATTATCAGGATATGTACCACAGTCCTTTAAAGTAAGTAATTAAACCCCTTCTTAAAAAGCCCGCTCTTGACCCAGGGGTTTAAGCCAACTATAGACCGACTTCTAACCTCCCCTTCCTCTCTAAGATTCTGGAGAAAGTAGTCGCCAAAGAGTTACGTGACTTTCTACATAACAATAGTTTATTTGAGGATTTTCAGTCACGATTTAGAGTTCATCACAGCACAGACAGCTCTGGTTAAAGTTAATAATGACCTTCTGATTGCATCTGACAATGGACTTGTCTCTGTACTTGTATTATTAGATCTTAGTGCTGCATTTGACACCATTGACCATAATATTCTTTTACAGAGACTTGAGCATCAAATTGGCATTAAAGGAACCGCACTAAGCTGGTTAAAGTCATATTTATCAGATCGCTCGCAGTTTGTACATGTTAACGATGAACCTTCAATAAATACTACAGTTAGTCATGGAGTTCCACAAGGTTCTGTACTTGGACCAATACTATTTACTTTATATATGCTCCCTTTAGGCAACATTATTAGGAATCACTCCATTAACTTTCACTGTTATGCAGATGATACGCAGTTATATCTATCAATCAAGCCCAATGAAATTAATCAATTATCTAAATTACAAACATGTCTTAAGGACATAAAATCCTGGATTACCTGCAATTCTCTGATGTTAAACTCAGAAAAAAACAAAATTCTTGTCTTGTTCCCCAAAAACCTTAGAGACTCACTGTCTAAAGATATAGTTACTCTAGATGGCATTAACTTGGCCTCTAGCACCACTGTCAGGAATCTTGGAGTTATCTTTGATCAGGATTTGTCATTTAACTCCCACATAAAGCAGACCTCTAGGACTGCCTTCTTTCATTTACGTAATATTACAAAAATTAGACACATCCTATCACAGACAGATGCAGAAAAACTAATCCATGCATTTGTTACTTCAAGGCTGGATTACTGCAACTCTTTATTATCAGGTTGCCCCAATAAGTCCATTAAAACGCTCCAATTAATTCAGAACGCTGCAGCACGAGTACTGACAGGAACTAGAAAAAGAGATCACATCTCTCCTGTACTAGCTTCTCTGCATTGGCTCCCTGTAAAATGTAGAATAGAATTTAAAATCCTCCTCCTCACCTATAAAGCTCTTCATGGTCAGGCCCCTTCATATCTTAAAGAGCTCATAGTACCCTATTACCCCTCTAGAACACTACGTTCTCTGAATGCTGGGCTACTTGTGGTTCCTATAGTCTCTAAAAGTAGAACAGGAGCCAGAGCCTTCAGTTACCAAGCTCCTCTCCTGTGGAACCAGCTTCCAGTTGTGGTTCGGGAGGCAGACACCCTCACCACATTCAAGAGTAGGCTTAAGACATTCCTCTTTGATAAAGCTTATAGTTAGGGCTGGATCAGGTGAGTCCTGAACCATCCCTTAGTTATGCTGCTATAGGCCTAGACTATTGGAGGATTTTCCATGGTGCACTGAGCTCCTCCCTTCCTCTCTCTTTCTGCACTCATTCATGTTCCATTAATGCATGTTACTAACTTCACTTCTTCCCCGGAGTTCTTGTGCTTTCTCGTCTCGCAGGTTCTTGTCGATCTTGGTGGAGCCTTCTGCCATGGTCCTGCTAGATTGCCATTGCCAATACTGTTGTTGCTGTGCACCTGTCTCTCTCTCTCTCTTTCACCCCAACTGGTCGAGACAGACGACCACCCACCTAGAGCCGAAGGATCTGTCCTAGGTTTCTGCCTTTTAACAGGCAGTTTTTCCTTGCCCTTGTCGCCAAGTGCTTGCTCATGGTGGTATTGTTGGGTCTCTGTAAGTAATGTTTTAAAGACTTCGGTCTAGACCTACTCTATTTGAAAAGTGTCCTGAGATAACTTCTGTTATGAATTGGCGCTATACAAATAAAATTGAATTGAATTGAATTGAACTGACTCAGCACTCCTGTAAAGCCTGTATATCTTGACCTGCAATGAGTCCATTTAACTGTACCCCCCCAGGCTCTTACAGTATTCCTGTCAGAATTATGCCTAGATTTAAAACCCACTACTCTACGCACTCTGTCTCTTCTACTGCTAGATCTCATTATGTGGTTACGGTTTACTGTAGTATTTCCACTCCAGCTAAACCTCTTATCCCAGTTACCCGTGCCCTTCTGAATGCACAGTCTATGGCTAAAAATCCTTCATTCCCAATGATCTAATTACATACCATAAGCTTGATTTCATGTTTCTTACTGAAACCTGGCTAAAACCTGGGGAGTGCTCCCCGCTTATGGAGCTCTGCCCGCATACTTACACATTTTTAAATTCACCAAGACTAACAGCCCGGGGTGGGGGTATTGAAGTTGTCTTTAAAAAACATTTTACTTGTATTCCACAAATCAAATCCATTTGCCACAGACTTTTTAAACATTTGTAAATCTTTTAACCTTGTGCAGCACGTCTCAGGCCCTACACATAACCTTGGGCACACCCTGGACTTTTTTTTTAAGTATTTTTTTTGGCTTTTTTATTGCCTTTATTTGATAGTACAGCTGAAGACAGACAGGAAGGGGGGGGCAGAGAGAGAGAGGGAATGACACGCAGCAAAGGGCTGCAGGTCAGATTCGAACCCTGGGCCGCTGTAGCAAAGACATGGGTACATGTAAAAATTGTAAAATTCAGAATCAACTATAAGATCTTACTGATTACATATAAGACACTTCATGACCTTGCTCCCAGTTACATTTCAGCTCTCCTTGTTCCTCATTCCACTCCTCGGCCGCTCCGCTCCTCAAATCTCAGCCTTTTATCCGTTCCACGCTCTAACTGTAAATCTAAAGGTGACCTTTGCTGTTCTAGCCCCAACATTGTGGAATAGTCTTCCCCAGTCATTTAGATTCACTGAATCTGTGGACTGTTTTAAGCGGCTGCTCAAAACCCACCTCTACAGGCAAGCCTTTTTATAGATCTCCCTGTTTGTTTTCTCTTCTGTCATGTCTCTTTTAATTTATCCCTCCCTTTTGTTTTATCTTCCTTTGTTTGTTTTTACATGCTCTCTATGTTTGTGTTTGTGTGTGTAATGTTTTATTTATTTGTTGTTTGGAAAGCACTTTGGATCTTTGTGTCAAAAAGGTGCTATATAAATAAAGTTTTACTTACTTACTTACTTACTATTACTGTTTTCTGTGTGTCCAGAAACTCTGTCCACAGTCTTCGTAAGAGATCGTCTCAGGAGTGGAGTCAGAGTGTGTTTCATGTAGAAGCTCCACAGTGGATTCCCCCGAACTCTGCAGACTCCAACAACACTACAGGTACCTCCAATAATAGTACAAATATATACTAATAGCAGTATTAATACTAATAATACTCAAAGTAGTCTTGGTCTTGCTTTGTACTTTCATAGTCTCATAATATTCTGTTATGTTTTTACTCCTCCTGTTGTGTTTCAGTCCCTCCAGCATCGAGCATTGAGCCTCCGACCCCGCCACCTCCCATCCCATTGGCTGAGCCAGCAGGTCAGGTATCCCCTGCGGAGGGCAGGGTGTCACCCTCGCTGTTTGACAGCCGGAACAGGAAGACAAAGAATCGTGGCTCATCCACGATGCAGGCCCTCCGCAGAGACACTCTGTCCTCAGACCGGACGTCTCGCCTTCAGCAGGAGAAACAGATGCTGATGGAGGAGGTCAAAGCTCAGAAGGTGATCGATAACTCAGTGATCAGACATATAACGGTTTATTGATCTGGGTAAAACTGATCGTTCTTGTGGTTTTAACGTACAGAATGAACGATGTAGTTTCTCGTACAGTACCAAATATGGATTCATCCACCGCTGAAAAGTCCCCAACAAATTCACTACTTCTTGTTCGTGTAGCATTTAAAAATGTTTTTGTTATTATTTTTTAATAATTATATATTTATTTGTTTTGCGGTGTTCAGGAGCTGGTGTGGATCCTCCACAAAGCTTTGGAGGCTTCTCAGCTGGAGAAGCGAACCTGTGCAGAGTTTCTGGCAGAGACAGGCGAGCAGGAGCGCCTGGAGCTACTGCGACACCGCGAGCGGCAGGCAGCCGAACTGCGAGGCCGGCTGGAGGAGGCGAAAGCGGAGGTGGAGGCCGCAAGGAAGATTCTGACTCAGAAAGATGCTCAGCTGGCCGAGCTGCAGGAGAACATCAGGATGCTGACGGAGAAGAACAACGCCAAGCAGGAGGTGAGGTCACACCTGAGGACAATAGGTGGACCACAAACACGTTTCATCGCCTAACTTGAATTTCCCTTGGGATAAATAAAGTATCTATCTATCTATCTATCTATCTATCTATCTATCTGTGGAGAACCTACAATAAACACACGTTCATCATCTCTATTTTAATGGTCATTGAAGGTCAGATAAGAATCAGATAACGTGCACATTAAATGTTTTTTGTGTTGAATTTTTAAAGGTTAATATGTATTAAACTGTAGCTAACAGCGCCACCAGTGGCCGTTCAGTGAACTGCACTCAGCGCCCTGTTGCATCATCCTGGGCGAATAACATTACTATCTACTATGTTCCTATATTTTATTTGGACCATTAGCGCCATGCTACGAACTAGCTCGCCGCTTACAAGTTACCCAATCAGCCACGAAGCAACAAAAAACCTAAAATCTATTGTTTCGTGTCAGGTGATCATAAAGCTGTCTGATCAGGTGACCACCTGTATGTCCGACCCATGTCGATCCGTCTCGTCGTCTGGCAGCAGTTTGGACTCTCAGACCTTCAGACAGCTTCAGCAGGAGATCGAGAACCTGAAGGTGAGATACTGACTGATATATTGTTGATTATTGATGATCAAATATTGACCTCTGATTGGGTCTGGTCTTCAGGACGACATCGAGGCATATAAGACCCAGAACAAGTTCCTGAACTCTGAGATCTACCAGTTGACCAAACTCTGGAGGAACAGCTCTGAGCAGGAGAAGAGTCTGATGGTGAAGGTGAGTCCAACACTGATGTCCAGTTTCATCACTTTTAAACCTCCTTCTGAGCCTCACCCTGTGTTTCCTGTCCTCTGCAGTGTGCCTACCTGGAGGCCAGTAACTGTCAGGCAGAGAGCCGTTACCTGGGTGTCCTGCGGCAGCTGCAGGAGACCAAATCTCTGGATCCGGTCCAGCGCGATGTCGTCCAGAAGATGATCGGAGACGCTCTGAAAGGAGAGCTGAAGAGCGTCCTCAAGCTCAACGTGGCCAGGTGAGCAGGATACAGCAGGGTGGACAGAATAACAGGAACACCTAGGTCACTGATGGTCTGCGTTGTGTCCTTAGGGATCACGATGAGTACGGCTTTAAAATCATCCCGGACTACGAGGTGGAGGACATGAAGCTCCTGGCAAAGATTCAGGCGCTGGAGATCCGATCCCACAACCTGCTGCACCAGGTCTGAACCCTCACATGTAGGCTCCATCGTGTCCATCAGTGGACATTAGAGGAACTGCAGTTTTGGTCACAAGCCAACCAATCAGCAACCTCCGTGGCTGCAAATGAATCCAACACTGAAGTACCAAAACCTGCAGTTTCTCTACCAGCCACTAGAGGCTTGCTACAGCAGTGAGTCAATCTCCATAAGGCCCCATAAATATTAAGGTGCCCAACTTTACAGCAGAAATCAACAGCGCCTCCACTCATCCAGTGCTCAACCGCACTACTGCAACTGAAAAAGTCCCAAAAAGAATCTTCCCTGTTGACCTCCATTTATAAAAGAGCCTCCTCTTTATCATGAAGCTCATATCATATTAAAAGAAGTTGATTTAACAGGACAGAAAGCATCCTGTGTGTTTTAAAATCCGTTTCTGTGGGTTTTTCCCTGCAGGAGGGTGTAGAGCGCCCCCTGTTGAGTCGCTGGGCTCAGTATCTCGCCGGCAGGTCGCATGATGACCTCTGCCCCTCGCCAGAGCTCAAAGGTCTGCTGCGAAGTGGTATCCCTCGGGAGTACCGACAGCGGGTGTGGAGCTGGGTGGTCCAAACCAGAACCAGGACAATCAGAGAGCATCACCCACAGCGCTACCAGCAGGTAGGGGGAGGAACACCTGTCCACAACTGTCCACAGTGTCCTCAGTGTCAGACCTGGATGTAACAGTGTGTCAGTAACCTCTCAGTAATCCAGCTTTTGTGTTTCCAGCTGTGTGAGAAGAGTCGGACATCTCCTCATCCAGCCTCCAGACAGATCCAGCTGGACCTCCACCGTACCCTGACAACCAATCAGAACTTCTCCTCACCCTCTAGCCCTGCCCTCCAGCAGCTCCGCCGCATCCTATTGGCCTTCTCCTGGCAGAACCCTGCCATTGGCTACTGCCAGGGACTCAACAGGTGCTCACACATACACGTTTGTTCTTCCACACGAGGACCTAACCCCAAATCCTAAACCCTAACCCTAAACCCTAAACCCAGAGACTAGACTAAATGTCCTCTCTTTGTTTCGCATCCATTAAACTATTTGATAACTCGTGTCCATCAGGGTGGCGGCCATTGCTCTACTGGTCCTTCAGAGTGAAGAAGATGCCTTCTGGTGTCTGGTGGCCGTGGTGGAAGCCATCATGCCTCGGGACTACTACACCAAGAACCTGATAGCCTCTCAGGTCAGGAAACACACTCACCTGTTCACCTGTACTCTGATCACCTAGAGATCTTACAGTCCTTCCAACAGACACTGACAGTTTCTAACTCAGTTACTCTGGCGTCCCTCCCTGTGCAGCTGAGTAGAGCAACTGAAACTGCTGTTTTTACCAATTGTGGATTAAGGATTTATGTGGACCAAACCAGAGTTAGTGATTGTTGGAAAGACTAACAAAGAACTTTAAGTGTTTTACGATGATCTACAAGGTAAACTTGGCGTTTTTGTCAATAGAGTCTGGTGTTTCTGACCGAGATGCTGGTGCTCTAGTGCGACATCTAGTGGCTCAAATCTACATAAAGCACCACTTTCACCCTGAAACCAGCTTTATTTGTCTGATCCAGTTGCTGCTGTTCATTTAATACAGTCAGAGGACAGTTTGATGTAAATAAGAATTATTTGAGTCTGACCTGTGTGAACATTGTAATCTGGTTAGTAGAGTAATATAGAGTTCGTTATAGAAACTGTTGACAATAAAACTTTAATATTTTATTGTATTTGATCAAATATTAGATTTTCCATCTGCTGAAATAAATTTTCAGTGGACTGATCGAAACCATTATTGAGTGTTATTGATCAGTCTCATTGATGGATTAGTGTTATTGATCGTCTGTTCAGGCGGACCAGCGGGTGCTGAAGGACTTCCTAGCAGAGAAGCTTCCCCGGCTGGCGGCTCACTTTGAGGATCACAGCATCGACGTGTCTCTGATCACGTTCAACTGGTTCCTGGTGGTTTTTGTGGAGAGTCTGCCCAGCGACATCCTGCTGCCGCTGTGGGACGCCTTCCTATACGAGGGCACCAAGGTACCAGCAAGGGTCATCAGAGAGCTCACTAAAGCTAATTTCATACAGCATATACTCCCAGTACAATGAACTAGCATCATTTATAGCATCATTAGCATTAATAATCAGCTAACCCTAACCCTATGGACAACATTCCAGCAGCTGATTGGCTGATTTGGACAATATAGGAGGTTCTGGGGGTTGTTGAGGATGCTGGATCCATTTTCAGAATACAACATGGATGTTTAAACCAGAAATGGAAATATTTCAGCTCCCAATTATCCCAGGCTGATTATGAAGATGATTCTGAGGTAATTGATCAGATTAATGCATAATCACAGCAGCACGGACACAGGTCAATGACAAAATGCCTTAGAACTGAAGAAATATAATATAATTAATATAAATGTATTATTTATTATTATATAAATTATATAAATATTACATCTGAACATTCAAACCAATGACACTGAGCTTTCCTGATTTTAAAATGTATTAATCATATAAGTCTGTGTTTCCCAAACTTTTTTTCTGGAGCCACTTTTTAAAATTACCATGACTACACATATAGCTGATTATTAATGCTAATTAATGTGCAAACATCAAAAACCGGTATTTAAAATCCTTTTGCTCATTGACATTTATTTTGAGGGAGATTGAATTAGTGAGAACAGTTTGTGCAGATGATTCTGGATGATTTTTATTATAACTGATGTATTGATGAGATCACCTGTGTGACTTCTGTGTGTCAGGTGATCTTCAGGTACGCTCTGGCTCTCTTCAAATACAAAGAGGATGACATTCTGAAGATCCACGACAGCGTGGAGATCTACCAGTACCTGCGCTTCTTCACCAAGACCATCTCTGACGGCAGGTAAAGACTCACCTGAACTCACCATCAACCCTTTATCATCAGACTGTTCTGTGTGTCAACGCTACCACCTGCTGGTTCACTGTGAACACAAACACTTGATCCACTGTGTTCACTGTGTTCACTCTGGACAGGATTCAATAGAGTTTATTCAGACCAGTCAGAAAGTCAGTTGTTGTAGTGTGGCTGCTGGTTTCTTAATATCTCTGGTGTCCAATAACAATAAACCTCCATAAATCCATTAGAAAGACAATCATCATGCTTTTAAGTATCAAGACATTATCAAGTCAGCTTTATTGTCAGATGTACTATACATGCACAACATACAGCACAAATGAAATTTCAGTCCTCTCGGACCCACAGTGCAAACATGCAATAGAAAAATAGAAAATACATAAAATAAACAATCAAAAAATTTTACATGACATAGAAATAATAAATAATAATAAAAATAAACAATCAACAAGACAAAAAATCAACAAGACATATTACAAACAATCAGCAATTTAAACAAGACATAAAATAGACAATCAACAATTTAACAAGACATAAAAATAAACATAAACAATCAACTATCAACAAGACATAAATAAACAATTCAACAAGACATAAATAAACAATCAACAATCAGAATCAAGGCACTTGAGTATTTACAGGATGAGTATTTACATGATCAGTAATGGCTGTCTGTATATTTTAATATACACTGCTAACAGTAGCTGCTAACAGCTAATTGGGCTACTGTTAATGTAGAATATCTCTCTCCCAGCTAACATGTCAATGGAAGCATTTTACTTCCTGTTTATATGCCCCAAAGCATCTTGGGAGCAGTTCTTAAAGTTTGACTAATTATCCCTCAAATAGAAGTAATCAGGTCTAAAATCCAATAATTTGAACTTTAAAATGAATTGATGTTAAAGTTACTGTATACAACAACATGGAACTAATACTGACTTTCCTCACTAATACTATAATAAAATAAAGTCTTAAAGGTCTTAAAGAGTCTAAAATTGAATGTGTAGAAACTCTGAATCAGACACTGAATAATCCTGTTTTACACATCCGTCAAATTAAACTTCAGGAACAGCAAAATGTTTTTCTTCAGATTTAATACTTTTATTTCAGAAGCTCCTCCCTTTCCTTTAAATTGCATTGTGGGAGAAAAGTGTCACTTTCCCAGCCATGAACATGCCATATGACGTTACAAAGTCACAGACTGATCTATTATATTGATTGATTTATTATACTTATTGTAACAGTAATAAAGGTCTCAAACAATTACTCAGTAAAATAATCTGCGACTACTTGAATAATCATTCTTCAATCAAAACCTTTTCTGTCTCAATATTAAAGTGATGAAATAAGACATTTGATTATATGAGGTTGTACAATGTATTAATCCAAAGATTCACAGTGTAAACAATCAATCATGGCAATAATCGGTGGTTGCATTAGGCGACGTTCCTTCGCTGAGACTCTACAGCTGTTTCCCGTGTTGTGAATGAATCTGTTAAATTTTGTTGTTGTTTGTTGTCTGTTGTTGTTGTTTACTCTGCAGGAAGCTGACCAGCATCGCCTTCAGCGACATGAACCCTTTCCCCGGCCGGCTTCTGAGGAACCGGCGAGCACTTCACCTGGAACGCCTGCAGGGGGAGCTGCGAGAGCTGGAGGAGCAGCAGAGGGAGTTCGTAACGGAGAGCGCCGAACGTAAAGACAAAGAGCTTGACACCAACGTCAGCGAGGACGACGAGGAACTCTGAACTCACGCCAGTCGGCTGCTTCTTACCTCATGAGCGTCTTGTTGCACACAATCGACCCTGAACTCGTCACACTGCGGTCACACTGCAGATTATTCTCTACTCACATAAAACCCAGACCACAAATCTGATCTCAACCCGCCTTTGTGCTCTGGCTTTGAACGGGGTTCCCAGGCGTCCTGGAAAACCTTGAAATGTATCCAAAAGCACTGTAAAAACCAGATAAGTTCATTTAACTCAAACTATTGTTGTAACTGATTTGTAAGACTTTGTTACTCAAAATCTTCAATGTAATCCGTTTCAACCTATTGATTGTGAGCCGGTTATTCTAGAAAAACTCCTGGAAAATGTCCTGGAAAACGATTTCTTACAGCGAGTGGGAACCCAGTTTGAAGCAAATTTGAGGTAGTGGCCAACCTGTGTAACTACACACAGAGTAATGAGTTCACATTGTAAACATTGTGTTCATTTGAACCTTGATGAAATGATTCGTTTCACTGTCAGAATTTGAGCCATTCGGTCCGATAACATTTATAAAGTCTAGAATAGACACACGATTAAATCTTTTTATCCACATTCAAGTTAGCAGCGGGCTAAACAGGAAGTTCAGAAGTTATCAGAATTCATCAGCGTAATTTCTTGACAGCAGGACAGTGTTAAGAGTTATGTGCCCTCATTAAAGCAATATTTATTCTCTTTAACATTATCTTAACCACAAAATCATTTATTTTTGAATTAATAAAGTAAAGTTTTATTTCTCACAGAGCACTACGTACGGTTGGTACCGAGCAGGAAGAGTTCTTACATTACTGAAAGATTACTTAACTATAAGTAAAATTACTCGTGTTAAAAGAAACTACTCAGAGTTTGAGTTCATGTTTAATGTACTGCAGACGTCACTACTCACAGTAACTTCTGGGTCACAACGAAATCCACATCCAACTGAGAAAACACGTATTTTAAGTCCCGATTTCCATTTTTAGGCAAATTTAAAAAATCAGATAACGGGTTAGTTTTTTCCATTTTTTATTTTCCATTTTATGTTCCTGTATTTCAAAACTCAACTCTATTGACGGAGAGTTTACTGACCATAAAGCAACAATTTAGTGAGCGAGTGACTCGTTAAATGCAATTCAGTTTTGAACAGTCAATAAGCTAACAAGCTAACAAATGAATGAATTGTATTTATGAGCAAAGTGGTATCATCAGCGTAAAAACAAAGTTTTTAAACTAACGGCTGAAATATGAACTGATAAAGAGTTAAAATGCAGGTGAAATTTAACAGTTTTTTACTTTGCACTACTGGTTAATGTTTGTTGTTTAAATCTGTCTTTTTCTATTATTATTGCACATAAATGTTAAGAATTTAAAGTGTTGGATAGGATTTCTTTTGGATTATTTGTCAGCAAAATTGTCAGCTATAAGCATTATAAGTAGTCAAAATATATTGATGTTGTAAGACTTTTACGTGTTATGTAGAACAACGACAATAAAATTGAGTTGAACTTGTAAGGGCAAAGGCTCCGTATGTTTACGTATGTGTCAGTGAGTGAACGGGTTGTAACGTACCTGTGGAACGATTTATGTGTTTCTATGTAGGGATCAGGGTATAATTATAATAATATAAATATGATTGTCAGTTATTTTACAGCGTTCACTGTTGGCCGACACCCAGGATGATGCAACAGGACGCTGACTGCAGTTCACTGAACGGCCACTGGTGGTGCTGTTATCTTCAGTTTAATGAACGGCCACAAATCTATAAATGTTTTTGCAAATATTTATTGTTTAATAGATTAAACTGTTAAATTCAAGTTTAATACTCGTAATGCATTTCTAAAATGATGTAAAATTAACTGACAATTAAAAACATTTCTTGCTATAATGTTCATTACATAGAAGACAACAGACACATTAAAATTTTCCATTTTATTATTTTTCTTAAAAAACAAATATACATAAGAAATGATAAATATAAAAAAGTCAACCCAGAACAAAAGAAAAAGTTCTTCAATGTTACAAACAACTTCTTACCGCAGAGAAAACCTAAACACTAGTGTTACACCTGACAGTTAAACTCATGTGTCAGCCTAAAGTCTTAACTTCTGTTTGCTATATTAGTCGTCCCTCGTGTGAAGACTGATTCAAGAGTCACGTCTGAAAGAAACGAGGCGTCTATCAGTCCTGTGAATCTAACAGCAGATTATTCACACCGTACGAAGATGACGAGCTGTGATAAAGAGCAGAGAAATATGGACATGCATCTTGTTCTGGATCGGCGTCTCTACAACGTCGGTCGGGCCGAAGGAAGCTTAAAAACAGTCCTCGGATTGAACGCGGTTTATTTAAAATGCAGTAACCATGACGACTAAAAACTAAAGTTAGAAAAATGACAAGTGAACTCGCCAGAGTTCAGGATGCTCCAGTCGATTGTTGATATCAGCTTGTTGCTTTTAAAAGTCACAGTTATTGTGATATAGCTCACCAGCTACAGTAGTTAAACTACAACCATGTGAGTTTCACAAGGATACATTTCTCTATGTCACTTTGTAGTGTAACTGGTGTCTGCGGCGTTAATTATACAAAACGCTTCCTTCACTATGCTTACTATGTATCTGGTTAGCACAACTTGCTAACGTAGGTTACTGCCGTTTATGCTAACAAGGAACAGTGGAGTTCAGTGGTATGGAGACAAACCTGAGGGGTCCCGAGCTTTTCAATTCTGAATCATTTTAGCTCTACTGTCCTCTAACAGAACATTTACTGTTTGGTTTGTTTCGTAGTTTTTAGAACTTTATGAGCATGTGGACAACATCAACATCGTTGTGGCTGGTCGGATGAGACAGGAAGTGTCTTTAGGCTTAGGTTAACATGCTAGATGCTAACAGCATTCAAGCTAACAGAGTCAGACTGATTCAGCAGCAGCTGATCCTGTTAGATCCAATCAGTGATCATTGGATCAATAATCCGTATAAACATCCTGACTGGAGCATCCCGAACCCGTGGCACGCCTGTCCACACCTTCAGCAGGCAGGGCCTCTCCTCTGCGTGCTGATTGGTCTGGTTTGGCGACAGAGGAGCTGAAAAGTTTCATTACAATAGTGTGGATTTATATTTTAGGCCTGATTCTCACTGTAATTCATTTATAAAGTTCATCTCAATAAACCAGAACCTTCACGTCAAACACAATAACCAACACTGACATCTGTTAAATTCAGAGAAAAGTTTGACTATTTATGTCAATAAAATAAAAATAATAAATATTAGAAAATTTGTCATACTCTATTCTCTCATTTCTTCTTTAATTTTTATAACACTATTATTATTACTATTACTATTTTGTGTTACAGCTTTAGAGGAACAAGTGGATGAAATTTGGTTATTTAATGAGACCTTATTCTGTCACAGTACGGAGTAATGAGCAGATAAACGTCCACTGAACCTTCTGTTCTTCAGTTCTAACTTAGTCTCGTGTTACATTAGCCTTGTGCTAACTTTGCCTTGTGTGTTAGTGTTTACTAAGTTTATTAAATGAAAACAAAGCTAACATTAGCATGCTAATATCTGAGCCGACGTATATGACCTAAAACATTTCACTAAAATAACACAACATACCTCAAATTAAATAATAAATTGATCCTGATTGGACAGAGCGACATACGTTTCCTAGCAACAGATTTACACATTAAAGTCTTTACAAGCTGAGACATTTCTGATGCATTCACATGGATTCAGACGGGAGACGTGGACAGACGGACAGATTGAAAAACGCATGGCGATATGTTGCTATGGTGATGTGTCAGCATTCAATTCAATTCAATTTTATTTGTATAGCGCCAAATCATAACAGAAGTTATCTCAAGACACTATTCAAATAGAGCAGGTCTAGACTGAACTCCTCGTAACATTATTTACAGAGACCCAACAGTACCACCATGGGCGAGACCTTGGAGACAAGGGCAATGAAAAACTGCGTCTTACAGACCCTGACTCCAGTTCCCACGCTTCCTGGAAAATCTGGATATTTAAACACTCAGAACACCTGGAATTGATTAAAATGACCAAATGTCCTGGAAATTATTTTTGAAAAATGTTTATTGTGTCTTAGCCGCTCACTCAGACCGCCTACAGGAACCTGTGGTCATTGTTTTATGGGACACTGTGTTAGTTCCATTTTGTGGCGCGTTTACGAGGATGCGTGTGAACTCTGCCTGTGGAATAAAATGGAATAAAATATATTAAATACGATTATTTTATGTAATTTAATGATGTATTTTCTTTTATTTCAACAAATGACCAATTTCGCTCTAATAATGAGCCCCAAATCATAAAGTTTTCATTTTCAGAGATATTTTGGTTTCGGATTGTTGGTCAGACTCTGACAAACTGAGATGGACTTGTTTAATTGACTAAAAATGACAATAATCATATTTCCAGCTTTAATTTCTCACCAATAATCAGTTTATCTGACGGTGGAATGAAACTCTTCAGTTCCTGCAGTCAGCAGGTTCATCTGCCCGGCGACGGCAGTCACATGATCCAAAGTAAATGTGTATAAATGTGTCTGAGAAGCAGGATTTAAATATCTCCATCCAAAGGTTTTTTTTCTTTTTGGGACGTTTGAACATGAATGTGTGTGTGTGTGTGTGTGTGTGTGTGCGTGTGTGTTAATATCTGAGCTACAAACACTGTTCATCTAAAATACTTTACAGCTACTTTAAACTGACGTCAGTGTTGAATGAACTCCATCTTTAGTGCAATTAGTTAACATGCTCGGAGCGTCCTGTGACCACTGACTCACTGCATCAACAGCTTTTAAACATACATGCTCTTAATATTTCAAAGCTAAATCTCAGAGCGCTCCAGAGTTTCTGCACACAAACACAAAAAGATCTCCACAATCATTTTATCTGAACTCTCAGATCTCTTCAGTTTGTCTCGGTGCTGCTGAAACTCTCCGACCGCTTTATCTTTTGAAGTGAAGGAGGTGTGTTGCTGACGGGAGGTGGATGATGGGAACAGTCGCAGCCTGAAAACCGTCCGTCCTCTAAACACAAACATCAGCTGCACGCAGTAAAGCTCCGGACAGAAAACAAACTTAAAACATCGGACAGAACAATGTTCATCATCAGATCAGAAGCTCCTCGTTGGATCTGACCATCAGTCTGAGGTTGAACCCAACGTCCAGACTAACAGCTGCACCAATCAGTGTTTTTATTATCGAACGGTGGATTAAAAGCACTAATTTAAACAGCCAGAAGTTCTGCTGCTCATTCTTGTTCTTTTAGTGCAAGTAAAAACAAGTGACCACTGGGACTGACAGCGAGACTTGTGTGTGTGAATGTTCAGATGTTGTCAGTGACCTTTGTATTAAGCATATAAATCAGCCCACTGGGAGTTGAAATATGGCCACTTCCGGTTTAAATGGATGTTTGATTTTTGAGTGTTCAGTCCCTTTAAAGAAACGTTTAAATTAAGAAATACAACCAGCAACTCTTCACACTGACCTAAATCACTTGGATACATTTTTGTAATTTGAGTCAAGAACTTCAATTAAATATGGTTTGACTGAAGCCTGCGAGGGTTCGAACTGTCAGAACGTTTGGATTCAACCTGCAGGGCAACAGGGGGCCATGAGTTGTCTCAGCAGCACCCGTTGTCTTCGTCAACATTCAGAGAGAATTGATTTCTGCCGGTTGCTGATGCCGTTGCCCAAACATGAGATAAAACTATTCCACTGGCTTTCTCTGAGCTTTCAAACTGTTGACATTTGACTCTCATGTTGCCCAATCAGTTGCCTTGTGTTGGACAATAACTGATGTCGAACATTAAACCTCAGACAATCCACTTCCATCAAACTTTAAATATGAACAGAAGCAGGAAGACTTGTTGTTGTTGTTGTGGTCACATGATGCAGTTTGTTTTATTGCTGACTGTCTGAACTCAGCCGCAACCTCCACAGGAAGGTCCGCCCACACCTTTCTGACCTTCTTCCTCTCTGGATTCCTTATAGAAACTTTATTTTGCGGAGGTTTCAGACAGCGAGGAGGAGATCGCACTCCAGGACAGGAAGTTGGATCCAGGTGACAACAACAATCTGACTGTCAATCATCAGCTGACGGGACGATGACACCCGCCTCAACATGGAGTCTTAAACGGGCATTGCACTGCAAGCAACACGTCACTGCAAACTTCATCAGCCAATCAGATTCCTAGATTATGTTCAATGTTCAACCCAGAGACATCTGTCATTTTATTCAGGTAACGCTGCGTTTCATTTGAACCGGATAAAAAGACCTTAAGTTATCAGAGAAACAAGCTGAGCTAACATTAGCAGCTAACGTTAGCATTAGCTCGGCTCGCAGCCCCCCTGTGACGTCCTTTGTCTGTCCAACAGCGTGGGAGAAGCAGTGATTTTTAAGGTGGAACTGCTTTATTCAGTGTTTTTAGTGGTTTTGGGGAAGAGGAGACCGATGTCTTCTCTGACTGACTGACTTCCTGTCTGGTGCCACAATGTTGATGTAGCACAAGGTCTGCACAAGGTATTTTATTTTGAAAATCGACCGAATTCTCTATGCTGTTTCTGTGTCTGACTTCCTGTCAGTGTGCTGCTAGACGTGAAAGACCAGCAGCGTATTCTGTGTTGGAGCAGAGCAGGGAGACGCCTCTGAGACGCCACCGTGGCGCTTCTGCTGGAATCACCAGCGTCGTCTAGAACGGGCGCGATTGGCTCCAGTGACCACAGCAGAGTCCACCATGTTGAACCGCCATGTTTCTACAGTAGCCCGGAACGGACAAACCAAACACGGACTCAAGACAGAGACTGTTCATGCTTTTCGCAGCCACTGTAAATTCTCCTACAGCCTGTTCTTATTCCCAGGTCGTCAACTACAGAACCGAGCGGTGTTCAGTTGTAATCTGCGACTTTAAACGCAGGTGGCACTAAATCCTTCACACTGGACCTATACTTTGACCCTAAAGAGATGCGTTGGTGGAGAAACGTAGCACTGAGGTCACAGATGAAGTTTGGATTCATAAAAACGGCTACAGGATGTGAACTCTGACTGCTGCTGGTAAATCTCTGATGTCTAAAGACTTAAGACTTAAAGGTGTATTTGTAGGAACAGAAAGTGTTCATTTACATCCAGGCATGAAAACGGGTCAGGGGTGAAGAAGGTGAGAAGAATATTACCCCTCTAGGGGGGTCTGGGGGCTTTGCTCCCCCTGAAGAAAATTTTGAATATTCCATATTTTAAAGCATCAGTCTGATTCATTTTGAGATGCATTTTTTGCCAACCTGGGGAGAGCTGGAGAAACTTAAGTTCAGCCATGAGTCAAAAATATTATGGCCTCCTTACTAAGTATTATGCATGACGCCATTGTCAGCCAGCCTGTCACTCTAACATTTACAGTACACGAGGCACAATGTGGCTTAATGGTGGACCTGCTGTAACTTAACTTGTCTACTCTTCCATCATGATTGACAGCCAGTACAATGTTATGTAATTCAGATTTTAATACATTTTATTATTTCTTTTTTGTGATTTACCGTTAGCTATACAAGCTAGCAGCTAACTTTAGTAACAATATCTAGCTAATGTTAGGCTAACGTTAACAGTAATTTTCCAGCGGAGCTTTAGCGGGCTAACGTTGCGTTCCCCTCTCCTGCTGTGTTCAATGACTCAATTCATCAAGCTGTAGCTAACGTTAGCTAAGCCTAAACAAAGGTAATGGTATCCCCCCCCGACCTTCCCAGAGAAAGAAACTGGTGATGCGAGGCACTTCGCGCTAATATTTCCATGCAGTCGCGCTCCCTTCTGGCACACGCACCTGTTCGCAATCTCTGGTACCTACACCCCCGCCCCGTACCTACATGCCCCCCCCTAAACATTTTCTCATCGAATCTACACGATTCACGTAGGTCACCTATTTTGGTTTCAAAACGGCGAATTTTGCCGAAAGGTGAGTGATTTTCATGTATGTGTATCCTCCCCCTGATCCTGTGGGTCCCCACTGAATGACACCTGAATCTAAAGGACACAATGGATACTAATCAATCGCAGGTATTGATCGATGTGCTCGCAGTGCGTCCCGTCAGCCTCTCACATTCACATAAGACCTCATCAGCTGACCAACAGAAGCTGCAGCAGAATCCGTCTGACCTTTGACCTCCGTCCTCATCCACCAATCAGACGTGGAGCTTTATGGCTGCTGTTCCAACTGTCCACAGACTCCGCCCCCCTGATGACATCACAGCGCTCCCAATCCAACATGGAGTTTGTCTCCACAACAGAAACGTTGATAAAAAGGAAAACGTGTCTTCGCTGGAGCCGATAGAACTGAAGTGTGAGCGATGAGTTCGGAGTGAGACGAGATGCTTTAGTTTTATAAAAAAGGACATCACTACGAAAAAATGCATCAGCCGGTTTAAAATCTGCAGCGCTTCAATATAAAGTGCTTCATTACATTGTTACGTTTTTACAGTTTCTTATTAAAATATTGTTTTCCCTGGAGTGAAACCATAGTAAACATGTTACACGTTGGTAAAAATAAACATTTGGAATGTCTCTTTTTTTTTTTTAAGAAGTCCCATTGGCTGATTTTGGTCAAGCTGAACTCGTCCCCGGAGCCTGAAACAGGAAACGAGTCCACAGGTTAAAG